CCTTTGGTTTTTCTCTTCGTACAGCTTTCTGTTTGTTACTGACTTTATAGTTTGAAGTAGTATGTTCTTTTATCAGTGAGGGGGAGGGGTAACGGCGGCCTGCCAGATCATTAAAAGGTGTAAAGGAGCACCCGAACGTGGGAACCACTGAGTTAGTTGAAATCTTAAATGACGAGTTCGCTAACTCAATTAGTATGCCTAGGACTTCAGTGCTAAAAGACAGACTTTGTAAAGAAGTTGCTTCACCTTACACTCATTGGCATTCGGTGGTCTGACACACTGCTCAGGTTGCGGATCGGTCGATCGTGATTCTACATCTTCATACCGTCTCGTATCACCATTACACATTATCGTTTGCTTCTTACTCTCAAGATGTGCTGATCCTTGTGCGTATACATATCCTTTAATAGGGTCAATGTTGATGTCGTCATTCGTACAAAAGTCATTGCTAGTCCAAACATAAACTCGAACAAGAAATTCACTTCCGAAAGGATATGTTTTCCTGATAGCTCAGTCGCACAATTGCATTTTACACCGAATTTTTCGCTTATATGTAACTCAACCAAATTTAGGAGAACCGATATTTGAGAGCATTTGACTTCAAATATTCATACGAAACCAGGAGATATTCATACGAAAAAGATTTCTTGTATCCCCTTCAAGTAAACAGATAGGTATTCACTGAGATGCGTGATCAAATTTCCGGAATTGTCAAATTCGAAAGAATAAAGCTCTCCAATGTGTAGAGTATCGAATTACATGCAGATTTTCGAACGCTCCGATTGAGAAACAGAGGATTTCTTGCTAGCAAGAGTGGGTGGTTCATACGAGCAGACTATAAAAAGGATTGAAATCGAAAAATGAATTCTGCTGAATTCATTACGAAAAATAAAATGCAAGAATGTGATTTTGCTTCTTTTCATTGCTTCCGAGTAGTTTTAATGGATCATCTCATTAAAGCGCTTTACATAGCGGGACATCTTACTGCAGTCAAGGGACATAAAATTAGAGCACTAATAAAATTTTATTATTCTTCGACAGATTTAATTGCGAACAATTTGATGGCTGCACGATATATGCGATATTTTATATGCATCTCCCCCAGAACACGACTAAGAATGCAATCACCTGGTTTACATTGGTAGACAAACGCTGTTTTACCAAGAGCGTATTGCTCGCCGCGATACGTGAAGAAAGTGGCATTCTGAAGAGAATTATAACCAGTTGAATAATGTATTTCCACTGAATGAAAATCTTTTCTTGCGTTAGAAGCTGAATGGGTTGTTTTGCAGAGTTGTGAGTGCATGAGAAATGTGCAAAAAACGTAGAATTGCTCATGCGCAGCAGTCGACTCACAGCAATATTCCTCGATGTTTCTTGACCCATAACGCATTTGAAATAACGCACTCGTTGACAAAGTTACGCACACCGAGCAAAAAA